CCGCGCCTCGTGCCCGGGGGACGCCCGGGGGACGCCCGGGGGTGGCGGGTGGCGGGGCCGTACCGCGCAGGTGGACGGCGCTGAGCAGCAGCAGGCGGGGCTCGGGGGGCAGCGTGGAAAGCAGCGAGGGCAGCAGCCCCTTGCTGGCGTCCCGCACCCAGGCGTTGATGCGCTGCAGGTCCAGGCTCTCGTTGCCGCTCAGGGCGTACGGGCGGGCGCCGTAGAAGCGCAGCGAGTCGTTGAGGAAGCGGGGCCGCAGCTGCAGCTCTGTGGGGCGGCGCGGTCCCGCGGTCAGTCCGGGCGCCCAGCGGGCAGCGGCGCCTCACCGGCACCCGGTGCCCGCCTCACCTGGGTGGTGGAAGATCTGTGCGGCCGAGAAGAGGCCTGGCGCGCTGGCCAGCCGCTGCAGGGCGCCGTGCACGCAGTGCAGCCCCTGCGGGTACGCCAGGAGGGCGGCCAGACGCTCCTGGGTTTCCCCGCGGGCACCTGCGGGCAAAGGGAAGCTCAGCGAGGCGCCCCGGCTGGGACAGCGGTGACACGGCGGTGCCGGTGCCCGCGGGCGGCCCCTCACCCAGCAGCAGGTGCGAGAGCCCCACGGCCACGTTGATGGGGGAGAAGAGCAGGTTGGCGTCGGGCTGGGCGGCCTCTGCCATGCGCTGGTAGAAGCGGAGGGCAAAGGTGACCAGAGCCTCGGCCACGGCAGCCCGCTGCTCCCCCGTGGGCTCCCCGCAGGTGTCGGTCGGGTCCTCGTCCCCAGGGCACGGCGGGGCGCTGGTGCCAGGCGTGGGCACTGCCGTGGTTTCATTTGCTGCGGTGTCCAGCCCCTCCGGTGTCCCCTCCGGCGCTGTGGGGCTGGGGACATCCGTGACACCCCAGCCAGGCAGCTCCTCGGGGTGAGCGCTGGGGGTGGGCACGGGCAGCACGGGGGCCCCCACGTCCTGCGAGGGAGCCGGGCTAAGAGCAGGGGGCACAGGGGGCACAGGCGGTGTCGGGGGCTCTCTGAGCAGCGTCATCCAGCTGGGAGAGGCCTCCAGAGCGAGCACCTGGGCACAGGGACTTGTGTGAGGGGGGCATGGGGCACCCGGCTGGGAGACTCAGATGAGGAGGTACAGAGGGGTGTCAGGCACAGGGAGCCCGTGTCCCTGAGCCACACTTACCGGGGTGACAGTGACCGTGGCTGTGGCCACCAGCCACGCCAGAGGCAGCCAGAATGTCTCGGTGGGCATGCTGGCGGGAGGGCACAGGTCAAGGGCAGGACAGACACCCAGCATCCCCCAGCCCGGCACGCCGCACCCCCACTCCCTGCAGCCCCCGTACCCCCACCCCGTGCAGCCCCACCCCGGGGTGCCCCTGCTCTGTTCCCCCCGGGGAGCCGGCTGTGGGGGGTGGGAGGAGGCAGCACCCCGGGCCCACCTGGCTGCCCGGCGGGTCGCTCCCTGCGTGTCCAGCGGGCGCCGGGAGATCTGGCCGGCTCCGACCCTGCCTGGTTAAAAATTAAGGAGGTTCCCGTAAATCAGCCGGGACACGGCCGGTAACGCGGGGGCAGCCGTGGGGGGCGGGCAGCGGGGTGCGGAGGCAGCCGGGATGCGGTCCCGCGTCCCGTTTTGCTCCCGTCAGCCCCCCGTCCGCGCGGGGCTCCGGCTTTCTGTCACCCTCCGCCCCTGGGAGCCCCGCGGTGGCGGGGGTCGCCGGCCGCCCCAGGCCCATCTGTCCCCACCCACCCGTGCCGGGGGCGCGGCCGCAGAACCTCGTCCCGCCCGCCCAGAGGCGTGACCATCCCCGGCACCGGGCACTGAGCACCATGGCCGGGCGGATCGCCAAGGTGGGCACCGGGGGCACCGGGACGGGACCAGGACTCCGGCGCCGCTGCGGTACCGGTGCGGGGGTCCTGGTGTCCGCACCGGAGCGGGGGCCGGGAGGAGCCGAGCTCGCGGTGCGGGAGTCCCGGTACCGGGGTGCGAAAGGGGGTTCGGAGGAGTGTTAGTGCCAGTGCGGGGATACCGGTGCCGGGGTGCGGGAGAGGCGGTGCTGGGGATGTCCGTGCCCGGTGAGGGGGTCCCGGTACCGGGGTGCGAGAGAAGCCGCGCTGGGGGATGTCAGTGCCCGGTGAGGGAGTCCCGGTGGCGGGGTGCGAGGGAAGCAGTACCGAGGTGGAGGGTCTCCGGTGCGGGGGTGACAAATACCCCTGCATGTTTCAGTTTCGTTTCCCCGGCGGGGCGGCCCCGCCCAGGGGTGTGTCCAGGATGCGGCCCCGTCCATAAAAGTGTGCCCGGTAATTAAACCCTGCCTATTAAGGCGGGGTCTGCAGGCGGTCCCGCCCAGAGGCGTGTCCCGGGAGAATTAACCTATGGAGGGGTCTCTGGGGACACACCTCGGCCCACACCTGCCCCACCCCTTCCCCGCAGGAGCTGGAGGAGGTGCGGAGCTGGAAGGGGGCCCGCGACGTGGGGCCGCTGGACGGGAACGTGCGGCGCTGGGGAGGGCTCCTGCTGCCCGTGCGTGGGGAGAGGACACGGGGGGACGTGGGGGCACGGGGGGCTGCGGAGAGTCCTGGGGAGCGGGGGCCGTGGGGGTCCCTTGCGCATGGGGGACAGGCGGGCTTGAGGAAGGATGTGCCCCTGGGGCATGGGAGGGACCGGGGGTGACCCTTGGGACGGGGCTGTCTCCCTGAGTGATGGTCCCCCTCAGGACAGAACTGGAGAGGGTCCCTCTGAGGACGCTGCGGGTCCTGGGCTGGGGCACTGGGTGGAGGTTCCCCTCCTGAGGGGCTCGGGCTGGCACGGGGGAGCCTCTGTGGGGGGCACTGGGTATCAGGGCCGGACAGGGTCCCCCCGCCATGGACGCTGTGGCAGAGGGGGCTGAGTTGCTCCCATATCCCGGCAGAACAACCCCCCATACAACATGGGCGCCTTCCGCTTCGAGCTGACCTTCTCCCCCCACCACCCGCTGGAGCCCCCCTGCGCCACCCTCCGCACCCCCATCTACCACCCCAGCGTGGACCTCGAGGGCCGCGTCTGCCAGCCCCTCACCACCCACGGGCACTGGGAGCCCACCACCCGCGCCATCCAAGGTGGGCGCCGCGGGGACAGGGGCGCAGTGCGGGGGGCGGGTGGCCCTCTGACCCCTCTGTCCCTGCAGTGCTGCAGGACCTGCTGCTGCAGCTGGACTGCCCAGACCCGCGGCGGCTGCTGCGGCCGGACGTGGCCCGGGAGCTGCAGGAGCGCCCCGAGGAGTTCCGGCGCCGGGCAGAGGAGCACACCCGGCTGCACGCCGAGCCGCGCCCCGACCCCCACGCATAAGGCAATAAATTCTCTCCATCACCTGCTCTGGCTCCGCTGTGCCTCACTGGGAGGGTGGGGGCTCCAGGAGTTGCTGTCGCCCCCGTGCCAGCCCTGGGGGATGTCACCCTCCTGGTGGCAGAGCCAGGGCTGTGCCCCAACCTGGTGACAATGCCCAGACACTCGCTTGGTGCTAGCGTTCCTCCCTCCAGAGACGAGGCCACCACCGCCTGGAACCATGGCCTTTACTGCTGGGGGACAGAGCAGGGGACGAGGAGGGGGATGGCACAGCTGGGGGGCTGTGGGGGACCCTCTCAGCGCTTCTTGGTCTTCACGAGCCCCTTGGCCACCAGGCAGCGGTACAGCTCCTGCACGTACGTGTACACGCACTTGGCGTCGGGCACCGGCAGCCGCACCATGTCCTCCACCTCCAGCAGCGGGGCACAGCCCGCCCGCTCCCTACGGGAAGGGACACGGTGGTCACCGGGGCCGGGGGCGGCCGGGGGGACCGGGGGGCCGGGGCTGCGCTCACGCACTCGGCGGTGGCGAAGGCCAGGGCGAAGTTGTCCCGGCGGGCGCTGGGCTCCAGGGCGGCGAAGTCGAAGGCGTCGGGGAAGAAGCTGTGCAGGAGGGCGCAGAAGGCCAGGCCGCTGCCCCAGCTCCCCGAGAAGTTCTGCACGTCCACGTGCTGCGCAGACAGGGGGGTCAGGGCACCCCCGGGCCCCCCACCGGACCCTCCCGCCGCCCCCCGCCTGCGCTCACCGGGTACCCCCGGGTGCGGGCGCGGCACCACTCCAGCAGCATCGTCTTGACCGTGGCGGCCCCCCCTGAGCGCCGCAGGTGTGGGGCTGGGCCCTTGGCAGCCCTGGGGGGACCTGGGCTGTGGGATCCCCACATCCCACCGTCCCTCATAGGGACCCCAAGTCCCTCTGTGACCCCACTGCCCCGTGGCTCTGGGCCCCCAATGCCCCACTGCCCCACGGTCACACAGCCCCCCCGTCCCAGCGCCACACTACCCTACGGACCCCCCATTCCTCCCTGTACCCCTCATTGCCCCATGTCCCCCGATATCCCCTCTGTCCCATATCCTCTCTCTCTGGCCCATGTCCCCCTGTAGCACCACTGCCCCACAGAGCCCCAGTTCCCCTATACCCCATTGCCCTGTGCCCCCCAATACCCCCACTGTCCCATGCCCCCCAATTTCCCCTGTACCTCCCACTTCCTCATGGCTTTCCAACACCCCCACTGCTCCATGACCCATCCATCCCACTGTCCCTGGCTGTCCTATAACCCGCCCAAAACCCCGGGTCCCCCGTTCCCTCAGTGCCCCTCCTGCCCCCCACGGAGCCAGGCTCCCCTCACCCTCCGAACTTCTCCAGGATGGCGCTGCGCCCCTGTGCCCGGGTCCCCAATCGTGGCCGTCCCCCAGCCCCCTCCAGCCTCAGCCTCTGGCCCGCCGCACCGGGGGCTGCCTTGTCCCGTGTCGCCCCCGCTGGAGCACCCCTGCAGGCACACGGGGGTGGGACAGCCATGAGCAGGGGGCTGTGGGGTGCCATCCCTGCCGTGGGGTACTGGGGTGCCACCCGTGGGGACACACCTCTTGCTGCCCCCAGTGTCCTCGGTGGTGCCGGCTGCAAGGAGAGAGGAGGGGTCAGAGGGGTGGAAGAGGGCACCCACACCCCCGGGGCACCCCTGGGGCTCAAGGTCCTTTCCCTTGGGGAGGATGGACACTGTGGGGCAGCAGTGACCCCAGGACACTCGGGTGCCATCGCCCAAACGGCTCTTACCTGTGGGGGATGCTGGGGATGCCGGGGACATAGGGGATGTAGGGGACATAGGGGACGTGGGAGATGCAGGGGACATGGGGGACGTAGGGGATGTGGGGGACATGGGGCTGGTGGCCCCCTCTGGGGACGAGCAGGGAGGGAACTCAGGCCACAGCTCGTCGTCCTCGTCCTGAAGCCAAGTGGGTTCCTGTAAGCAACAGGCAGGGTGGCACTGCCAGCACGGTCAGTGTCACTCACACAATGTCCCTGGCACTGTCATCCTGGCCCTGGCACGCTCACCGTGGCCCAGTAAAGCCACCCTTGTCCCCATCCGTATCGCAGCTGCCCTCCCCACCGCCTCCTGCCCTGGCTGTGCCGCCACCTCCATTCCAACCCCTCCTCACCTGTCGGCGCCGGGCGTTGTCCGCTGCTGCCGGCGCCGTTTTTCCCTCGGTACCCTCCTCGGCACCCCCTCCGGTGCCCCCGGCTGTCCCTGCCTCGGCATCGCCAGCACCACCCCCGGCCTCCCCGGCATCGCCCCCGGCACCCCTGGGTGCTTCTGTCCCGGCATCCCCGGCAGCCTCTCCCCCCGCGCACCCCCCTTGTCCGAGGTGGGGGTTTCAGCGTCTCCCAGAGCCTCCATGTTGCTGCGGTCTCTGCTGCAGGGGCACAGGGCTGTCACTGGGGTGCCCCCCCATAGCCCCCCAGCCCGGCTAACCCCTTCCTGTCACTGTCCCCATGCCCTCCCCAGCCCTGGCACTCCTACCTTGGGCACCCCAGTTGCCCCACTCCGGCTCCCCCACGCCCCATCCCGGCACCTCAGCAGCACAGCCCGGTCCCCTCACGTCTTCCTGCAGCCCCCCAAGCCCCAAACCAACCCTCCCATTGCCCTCCTGCCCCATGTCAGCACCCCTGTGCCCCCTCCTGCCCCATGTCCCCTCCCGGCCACCCAGCTCCCATCCCGGCACCGCCATGTCCCCCTCCCGGTCCCACATATCTTCCCACTGCCGCTCCCCTATAACCCCTTCCCGGTCTCCCTTGCTGCCCTCCGGTGCTCCTCCCCGGTGCCCCCCAGCCCGCACGCTCCCGGCCGCTCCCGTTCCACCCCCGCCTCGTGTAGCCCCGTTGTCCCGGAGCCCCTCGGCCCGTACCCTCCGGCTGCTCCCGCTCCGCCGCCCCGGCTGCGCCCCAGCCCCCCCGCCCCGCGCTATTTTTACCCGGCGGGGGCAGGTGCCGCCTTCACTCACCGCCCACCCGCGGGGCACGCGTGGGGCCGGCCGGACACCCGGGCACGGCTGGGGATGGGGAACGCTCCGACAGCCCCGCCCGGACGGCGGCGACACCCCAAAGCAGCCCACGGGGAGGGGACCGAACCGCGCCGTGCGACCCGAGCGACACAGGGGACACGGACACCCTGGGCAGGGACCGGGAGACCTGGGGGTCACAGGCACCCGGGCGAGGTGGGGAACACAGACACGAACACAGAGGTGTTCGGGGGACACACCGGGGACACGGGCACACGGGGGGCGTGGGGAACACGGGCAGCGCGGGGGGACCAGATTCCCGGGGGACAACGGGAGACACAGACACGTGGGGACACAGGTCACACGGGGACAGCCCGGGCAGGGCGGCGGGACACGGGAGGACCCAGGGAGACGAGGAACAGGGGACACAGAGGGAAGGACCCGAAGCCCCCCGGCCATGCCCGGGTAAGGTCCCGGCGATGGCCACGCCCTCTCTTGTCTGGACACGCCCCCTTCCCGTGACCCCGCCCCCTGCGGGGCAAAGGCCGGGCCGAGCGCGCGCTCCGCCGCTCCCCTCCCGCTGCTCGGCCGCCGCCACGCCCCTTCCGCGAGACCAATCAGCGACCGAGATGCAGCCCTGGTCCCGCCTTCTCCTGCACTCGATTGGTCGGTGCCGGCGGCGGGGCGGGGCCGCTGCGCGGGTGGGCGGAAGCGCGGCGCCCACGTGGTTCCTGCAGGGAGCCGCCGCCGGGTCCCGAACCGAGCGGGACCGCGGGGGTCCAGGGGGGCGGATCCGAGCGGGGTCGGGCTCAGAGGGACCGTGATCGGGACCGGAACCGAGCGGGGCCGGTGCTGGCCGCCATGGATCCGCTGCGGGCTCAGCAGCTGGCGGCCGAACTGGAGGTTGAGATGATGGCCGACATGTACAACCGGTGAGGCCCGCCGGGAGGGAGCACTGGGGGCGTGGGGGTACCGGGGCGTGTCCGTGGCTTGGGAGAGACTAGCGGGTGCCAGAGGCACTGGGGGACCCTGGGGTGCTGGGGTTGGAGGGTATGCGGGGGTCCTAGGAGATGCCCTTGAAATGGGGAGGGGAACCGGAGATGCCTGAGGATGGGGGACGGCGGGGGGTCCTTGGGGTGGCGATGACGGGGGACGCTGGGCTTGCTGGGGTGCAGAGGCCGGGGTCCCGCTCGGTGCAGGAGGTGCTGGGGTGCAAGGGCTGGGCGTGCCGGGGACGGCGATAACGGGGGGCGCTGAGGTGCGGGGTCGGGGTCCCGGGGGTGGCGATGGCGGGTGCAGGGGGTGCAGGGGTGCGGGGCCGGGTCCCGGCTGGCGCGGGGCTCAGGCGCGGTGCGGTCCGTGCAGGATGACCCAGGCGTGCCACCGCAAGTGCGTCCCCCCGCACTACAAGGAGTCGGAGCTGTCCAAAGGGGAATGCGTGTGCCTGGACCGCTGCGTGGCCAAGTACCTGGAGGTGCACGAGCGGATGGGCAAGAAGCTGACGGAGCTGTCGCTGCAGGACGAGGAGCTGCTCAAGCGAATGCAGCAGGGCAGCGGCACCGCCTGAGCCCCCACCCATCACCCCAATAAACCCGGGGCGTCTGCTGTGCTCCCCTCGCCCCCCAAACCCACCCTGTGGCCGTGTGTTGGGGTGCGTGGTGCCCGTGGTTGTCTGCTAGGAGCCCTCCTTGTTGTCCCCGGCTGCCACGTGCCGTGTCCTTGTGGGGGGCACCCCTGGTTCCCCCCCCGTCTGGGCCCAGCCCATGTAATCCCCCGGATTAGGCAGAGCTGGGCTGAGCCCCTTGTAATCCCCAGTGGGGTGGGACAGGGCTCAGCCCCTCCCTGTCTCTCTGTGCTGGGGGTCAGCAGAGGGGACAGCCGGGGGCCCTGCACAGGGACACAGCCCCGGAGGGGCAGGGCACAGGGACACCCTCACAGGGACACTCCCAGAACAGCCAGCCCTGTTTGAGGATACACCGATGGGACCACGTGGGGACAACCCAGGGACACCTCTGCCTGGGCAAAGACCACGTGGGGACAGCCAGAGACCACGGGGGAGCGGGCAGGGGGACAGCCACCTGGGGACAGTCTGCAAGCACACAGACAGACACGCCCACACACCCCTGGGGACACTTGGAGGGGACAAGGGACCCGGGGGGACACGGACACCCAGCGAGTTACACCCGCTGAGGGACACCCCACGCTGTGTGAGGGACACCTGCCGAGGGGCAGCCGGGGGTGACACCCCCAGAGGGGCGGAGGGCAGGGGCTGGGCGCTGTCCCTGCGCCGGCAGCGTGCGCTCCATCCGTGTGCCGGCGCCTGCGGGAAGTGGGTCAGGCTGTGCAGGGTGCGGGGGTGGCTCCGCGCCCCGCGGCTCCCGTGACACCCGCCAGCGCTCCGCGAGGGGTGCGGGGTGCCGGCGGCACGGCAGCCTGCGTGTCACCGGCCCCGCGGTGGCGCCGGGGGTGCGGCGTGTCCGGGGGTGCGTGTGGCCGCACGCCCCGCGGGGGGTGTCCGTCTGTCCCCCCCGCGGCGCCCTGCACGCCTCGCTGCCCTGCCACCCGCCGCTTCCATCAATATTTCAGCAGCAGCAGGCGGTGACCTGGATCGACGGTGGCCCACCCACAGCAGCCAGGCCCCGCTCTCCCAAAATAAGACCATTTTTAATAAATAATTTCCCACCTTTTGGTTCCTGTTGGGGGTTTTTCCCGCTCAGGATGGGAGGGGACCCCCTTCTGCATCCTGCACCCCCCCCCCCCCGGCC